CATCATTCTCAGCTCCTACAGGCTGCTCTCACGTCCCTTCCACACGGCCGTCTCCATTCTCCAGCCGGCAGCCGTGCATTGAATCCTGCTGGCGCTTTGAAGATCCGGCTGGCTCTGCTTTTAAAGGGCTGATGTGGTCAGGTGAAGTCACCCAGATAGCCACGTAACGTCACATAATCGTGGGTGTGGTGTCAGGTCACAGGTTCTACCCAGACTGCAAGGAGCAGGGATGAGGAGGGGCCGGGGTCATGGGAGCTCATGTTAGAGTTCTGCCTACCCCAGGAGAGAATGTCTTTTTTCTTTTTCTTTTCTTTCTTATTTATTTTTTATTCATTTGAGAGAGAGAGAGAGAGAGACAGAGAAGGCACATTCAGGGGGAGCAGCAGAGGGAAAAGGAGAAGCAGGCTCCCTGCTGAGCTGGGACCCCGACGTGGAGCTCGATCCTAGGACCTGGAGATCATGACCTGAGCCAAAGTCAGACACCCAACTAACTGAGCCACCCAGGCGCCCTGAGAATGTCCTTTTCCTTGAGTGATACATGCAGAAATATTTAGGGATGAAGGGGGTATGAAAACATTTTCCTCTCAATGGTTCAGAAAAATATTGCATCTATATTATTTATATATTATTCATACACATACATAGAGGAGACGAAGGGAGGAGGGGGAGGGCACATGAAAGCATGAGCCTGATGCAGCAAATGGGACAAAATGTAAATGATTGGAGTTCTTTGTTTTATTATTGAAACTTTTTAATAAGTTTTAAATGCTACAAAAATGTACACCCTCCCCCTAAATTAGGAAACAAAAGTGTAGTCTTTGTGTAGTGGTCAAAAATCCAGACTTCAGCTAAAGCTAAAGTTTCTCGCCTCTCCTACCTCAGCCTGGCCCAGGTGTGGAATCTGGAATGTCATGGTAGGAAGAAGGGGCTTCTCCTCCTCCTCCTCCTCCTCCCCCAGCCAGTCCCACGACTTCTGCTGTGTCCTGGGTGGGAACCGTGGTGGGTGAGTGGGGAGGAGAGGTACGACAGGGGTCTGACCTGGCGTCCATCTGTGGCTGCGACCGTGGCAAGCTGACTCTCTGGGTGAGTTTGTGGGTTCTCTGCGCCCCTGCTGTCACTCGCCGCAGTCCCCTCTACACCAGTGACCGTCGGCTTTGGCAGTCAGCCCCGTCTGGGCTCGTTCTTGGGCTGCCAACAGTCAGGGGCAGAGTCCCTCGAAGTGGCTCCAGGCTTCTCTTTCCCTCGGGGGCCATGTCTGGACCACGGAAAACATATCCTTTGCTCCAACAGACCCTGGGAATGTAGGCTGTCCCCGACGTGGCCACCACGGAGGAGCCCATCTGTCAGATTCTGCCTTTAGTCTTCTGCAGGCCTGGATTCATGAGGAGCCCCATATCCCAGGGGATAAAGGTCAGGATGTCATTCCCATTAGGCTTAAGGTCAGGGGAAAGCAGCCCACAGCACCGCTCCCCATGGTAGTGTGGGGGGCTCACAGTACACTTGACATCTCTTTGCAGAAACATCTCTAATATCCAGCTTCCTGACCTCTTCACTTCCAGCACTGTGACTCCTTCTTTTTGTCGAGGGCTAGGGTCACAGCCCCGTGTTTCGGCCACCCTCCTTTCCAAGTCAGGCCTCGATGGTCTAGCTTTGGGATGGGGGACAGTTGGCTCCTATCTTTTTGGACCTTGAGCCAAAACAGGCAGGCAGACTCACGCTTTAATATCCTGTTGCATATGTTTATTGCTATTCCTGATTTGTTGATTTTACATGGATATTCTCTCTTGCTTCCTACCATGGAAGATGAAGATCCAGCCTTCTTCCGTCACCCTGGGCCCCTACTCCGTCCCTCCACCCTCTCAGAACAAGTACATCACACTTTCTTGATTAATTCAATGTAAATTGTTGGCCTAATTATGATTATGTATTACTTATTTCTGATCAAAGTGGCATATTATGATGATTTTCCTTTGTTGTAGGGTATTTCCTCCCTGGAATTGAAATATTTTCTTATTTTTTATTTTGCTACTTTTCTCTCCTCTCAATGATTCTTCTCTAACTCTCCCGGGGAATTATAAAACTCTGAAGAGTCTTTTTTTTTTTTTTTTTAAAGATTTTATTTATTTATTTGACAGAGAGAGACACAGCGAGAGAGGGAACACAAGCTGGGGGAGTGGGAGAGGGAGAAGCAGACTCCTGGCGGAGCAGGGAGTCTGATGCGGGGCTCGATCCCAGGACCCTGGGACCATGACCTGAGCTGAAGGCAGACGCTTAACGGCTGAGCCACCCAGGCGCCCACCTCTGAAGAGTCTTTTCCCCATGATCAGGCATCCCATGACAGATCAATTTCACTCTTTTTCTGGGGACGTCCATTATCAGGCTTTCCATCCTCCTGCTCTGTCTAAACTGGCTGTTATTTAGGCTGTTATTTAGTGGTCTCACACTTTCCTTTGTCCCACTGCTGTTCCCTGACTGTCTCTCTCCTTCCAGGTTTATATCTTCATTTCGTTGGAGCTCATCTTCCAGGAACTTCCCAAGAAAGGGCACATGGGAGAACATGCCTTACTCGGTCCTTAGAATCAGAAGCTTGGTTGGGCATAGAGTTCTAGGTTGGAAAGAGTTTTCCTCAGTATTTTGAAAGCATTGCCTTTAGGTATTACTGGTGCTGAGGAGAAGTCTAAATGCCTTTTTAAAACTAAATCTTTGAACACAGCCCATTTTTTTCTACTCTGAAAGGTTTTAAGATCTAGTCCAGTGTTCTGAAGTGTTTAATAGTATCAGTGATTTTCCACTTCTCATCCTGGGTGTCTGGACACCGTTCCCTTCCATTCGAAAACTCACGTTTTCCAGTTTGGGGAAATGTTCTTGTACAATTTCTTCCTATCGATTTTCTATTTTCTTTCTTCAAGAAAGTCCTATTAGTTATATATTGGACTTCCTAAATTGAGCCTCTGGTTCTATTTTATTTTTTTCTTCTTCTATTTTCTGCTTTTTTGTTCTACTTTCTTGGAGATTTTCTCAGGTTTATTTTCTAACAAGTCTGTTGAATGTTTTAATTTCTATCATATTTTTAAAAAAGATTTTATTTATTTATTTGACAGAGAGAGTGCATGCTGGGGGAGGAGCAGAGGAAGAGGGAGAGGGAAATAACCTCCAGCAGACTCTGTGCTGAGCGCCGAGCCCCACAGGGGACTCGATCCCATGACCCCGAGATCACAACCTGAGCCAAAACAAAGAGGCAGAAGCCTAACCGATTGAGCTACCCAGATACCCCTCTTCTCTCTTATTTATGCTCTCAAAGCCCCTGTTGCTCCTTTTGCAGATGACTCTCACGACTTTTCTCTCTGGGAACATGAATAACAGTTTTTTTAAGTTCTGCTTTGTTCCCTGCAGTTTCTGTAGTTCCTCCAATCCCTTTTCCTACTGGTTTCATGTTAGAGGCTTGTCTTAAATAAATATCCTGCGGTTCATTCAGGTTTAAGAGTAAAGCCTTGAGAAACCTGGCAGGCAGCCCTGCACGGTGGCTGGGGCTTGTCAAGCTTTCTCTGCCGGTCTCACTGAAGAGCTGCAGAAGTCAGTGTCCCGTGGGCCTTTGGGGCAGGAGGGGATGGGGAGGGGCAATTCTGTTTCTCCAAAGAAGACTCACCCCCGCAGCCCAGCCTGTGTCCTTAGAGCTGAGCAGCGCACCTTTCAGAACACAGACTCTTCATCACTGCGGCCCTTTTCCTTCTTCTTCCAGTATCTCCACTCTCCCCGGCTCTGGAACCTTCCAGTTCAGTTTTTCCGAGAACTAAATCTCCATTCTCCTCCTCGGGTGAGGGTGGGTGAGGGTGGCAGCGTTCTCGGGTTTCCTGGAATGGGTGGGAGGCCCCGGGCTGGAGTTGTCTCTGCAGACCCTTCCCACCTGTTCCTTACCCACCACCTTCTGCCGCCTCCAGTCCCGGGGTCTTTGGGGGATTCTGCAGTCAAACGCACTTCTTTCTCCTTCCTGCCCCCTTTGTCAGCATTTGCTGTTCAGCTCTGTTTGTTCTGCTCTTTTATCTCCTTTCCTTCTTCCAAAAGTGTATTAACATTTCTTTGTATTATTACTATTACTGTTACTCCTTTGTCCTCATCTTAGAGATGTTTTAAGAAGGGTGTGTGTTCAGTCTACCACACTTTAACAATGTATTTAATTATATTTTTATTAGTAGTAAATATATGGATGCACGCACACATAACAAATATAAATATATACATGTATTCAAGTGATCCAAGAGATGCAGGGCGACAGTAATGACTGTGGCCCGAGAAGCTCTTCCTGTGTCCCTCCACAGAAAGTTTATGCACACATTCACACACATACCAAGGCATGTAAGTAGACATTAATGGATTTTATTTTAAATCAAGAAAGCAATTTCTTTTCATACCCCTGAGAATATTCATATCTTAAATAAAGGTCAGTGCTTAACCCAAAGGCACGAATCTCTTCTAGTCGGATTTCAGGTTTCACGGCAGGTGGTGGACATTTTTAAGGGGACTTTCAAGTGCCCCTGAAAACAACCCATGCAGTAAGGCACCTGCCCCGCGGCTAGCCGTGGTGGCTCTGGGAGCACGGGCACAGCAGAGTGCTGGCCGGCGGCGGTCTTCCCCGTCTCGCGTGGCCCTCTTCATCCCTGCCCTCTGCTCCTACTGCACCCCGTGTCTGCCCCCCCCCAACGTCCACCTCCCTCCAGACGCGCTCAGCTGACCCCTGGCTCCCGTGGCTGGCCCACGGAGCTAAGGGCGTGATTTATCCTGGCTAAGGGGTGCCCCTGACTCTGACTGCCTCTTGGGTTTTAGGAATAGACTGGCACACAAGATGGGAATGTTTTCATCGTGGCCCTGGCTGAGTAGACTTTATTAAGACATAGACTCAGAGGCTGAACTGAACATTTCAGTTTCCACAAATAGCTTCGGGCAGGCTACCTGACTTGATTCCATAGCAGTGACCTCAGTTTGACTCTCCGTCCCTGCAATAGGGCCTGCTGCTGCCAAACCAGACTTGATCTCAAAACTGGAACGTCGAGCTGCACCCTGGATCAAGGACCCAAACGGGCCAAAGTGGGGGAAAGGTCGTCCTCCAGGTGAGTCTTGCCCTACCGAGTCCTGAAGGGCACATCCCGGGGCCCGTGTGGCCATGGCAAGTCATCTGGTGTCCGTTTGGCCGCCCCTGTCCTGCTCCTGTTGCTCACTGGGCCTCGTGTCAGGCTCTGCGGGACGAAGAGGAGTAAGAAACTAACTCTGCCCTCTGAGTGTCAAATAGGGAAACAGGGACAGTATGGGACAAAGGAGGCCCTTTGATGAGCAGAAGTGCTAGCGGGACCCGTGGCGGAGCTGACGGGGGTGCGTGCGGGAGGCCCTGGTTGTGAGGAGCTGTGTGACCCAAGGGCCTGTGAGCTGCCCTTCTTCCCTCCTCTTCCGGTTTCCAGCGGCAGCACCGCTGGTCTGGGCAAGCTCGCTGTTTTGTGTATCTCAGGGGCTTACTGGCTCATAGCTACTGTGTAGACTGCTCGACCTCCCTTCTTTCTAAGGCTCATAGGAACACTTGCAGATGTTTAACCTCATTTCTTTGGGCTGCCTCGAAAGAGGATTGAAGTCACCTGTTTATCCAATAGCATCTATAGCCAAGGTGGCTGATTAAGCTTATTAGCGGCTGGTGTCCCATGATCTCGGGGTAGCTGTGTGGCTAGAGACCGGGAGGCTGGCTAAAGAGCCCACAAGGATTAGCACACATCTCTTCGGGAGCAAGCTAACTTGCATAGATAATAATGGGAAAGGGTTTAAAGAGAAGTCACTAATGATCTCCAGAAAGGTGGATCACAGTCAACTCTGCTTTTCATATGGGATACTCAGTAAATGGGGATGTCTTAACTGATGGGAGACTGCAGAGTTCTAGGCAGCAAAACCGAGCTCATTTTTATTTGCTCCAAAGGGAAGAAGAAGATGGTGGCCCTAGGAGAGGCAGACACACAAGCCTTGGCTGTAGAATCTGCAGTGCTTCCAGCAACTTCTCTGGAGACCTGTAGCTCCTACTGCAATTCCAGCCTTTGGGAAGTCGAAATAGATGGCCCTAGGAAAATCAAGAGAACTTACAGACCCCGTTCCATTCAGAGGTCATGGTTTGGGCAGTTCCCATGGTTAGTAGTTGACCCAAAGGAGACCAAGCTCTTCTGCTCAGCTTGCAAAGAAAGACCGAATCTCCACGACAAATCGTCCCGGTTAGTCCGAGGTTACACGGGGCCTTTTAAAGTGGAGACTTTAAAATACCATGAGGTTAGCAAAGCACACAAGCTCTGTGTCAACACTGTTGAGATCAAGGAAGATGCCCCTCCGGCTGCCCTGGTCCCAGAGATCTCCAGCGACCTGATGGCGAACATGGAACACTTCTTCAACGCCGCCTACTCCATTGCGTACCACTCGAGGCCTCTGAATGACTTTGAGAAGATCCTGCAACTCCTCCAAAGCACCGGGACCATGATTTTGGGCAAGTACCGAAATCGCACCGCATGCACTCAGTTCATCAAGTACATCTCTGAGACCCTGAAGAAGGAGATCCTCGAGGATGTCCGGAACTCCCCTTGTGTGAGCGTGTTGCTGGACAGCTCCACAGACGCCTCGGACCAGTCCTGTGTGGGGATTTACCTCCGCTACTTTAAGGGGATAGATGTGAAAGAGTCCTACATCACCTTGGCCCCTCTCTACAGTGAGACGGTGGATGGCTACTTTGAGACTATCATCTCTGCCCTGGATGAGCTGGACATCCCCTTCCGGAAGCCCGGTTGGGTGGTGGGCCTGGGAACCGACGGCTCCACCACGCTGAGCTGCAGAGGAGGCCTCGTGGAAAAGTTCCAAGAGGTCATCCCCCAGCTGCTGCCCGTCCACTGTGTTGCCCACCGGCTGCACCTAGCTGTGGTAGACGCATGTGGGGGCATCGATCTGGTGAAGAAGTGTGACCGGCACATTCGAACGGTCTTCAAGTTTTATCAGTCCTCAAACAAAAGGCTGAATGAGCTGCAGGAAGGCGCGGCTCCCCTGGAGCAGGAGATCATCCGCCTCAAGGACCTGAATGCCATCAGGTGGGTGGCCAGCAAGAGGCGCACACTGAATGCGCTCATCGTGAGCTGGCCTGCCCTGGCCCGGCACCTCCAGGGCGTGGCGGAGGCTGGGGGCCAGACTGGGCACAGGGCCAAAGGCATGCTGAAGCTGATGAAGAGCTTCCATTTCGTCAAGTTCTGCCACTTCCTTTTGGACTTCCTGAGCATCTACAGGCCTCTGTCTGAGGTGTGCCAGAAGGAGATCGTGCTGATTACAGAGGTGAACTCCACGCTGGGACGGGCCTACGTAGCCCTGGAGACCCTCCGTCACCAGGCGGGGCCCAAAGAGGAAGAGTTCAATGCCGGCTTCCGGGATGGGCGGCTCCACGGCATCTTCCTGGACAGAATGGAGATGGCGGAACAGCGCTTCCGGGTGGACCGGGAAAGGATGATCCTGACTGGGATCGAGTACCTCCAGCAGAGGTTTGACACGGCCCGGCCCCCACAGCTCAAGAACATGGAGGTGTTTGACACCACGGCCTGGCCAAGTGGGATGGAACTGGCCAGTTTTGGGAATGAGGATATTCTTGCCCTGGCCAGATACTTTGAGCTCTCCCTCCCTGCAGGGTACAGCGAGGAGGCGCTCCTGGAGGAGTGGCTGGGCCTGAAGGCCATGGGCAGGAACCTCCCGTTCTCCATGCTGTGTAAGAACGCCCTGGCCCAGCACTACCGCTTCCCGCTGCTGAGCAGGCTCGTGGCGGTGGTGGTGTGCGTGCCCGTCTCCGCCTCCTGCTGTGAGCGGGGCTTCAGCGCCATGAACCGGATCAGGACTGACGAGAGGACCAAACTCTCCAACGAGGTGGTCAACATGCTCATGATGACAGCGGTGAACGGGGTGGCAGTCACGGAGTACGACCCCCAGCCTGCCATCCAGCGCTGGTACCTGACCTCCTCGGGCCGGCGGTTCAGCCACGTCTACGCGTGTGCCCAAGGGCCGCCCCGTGCCCAGGCCCGTAAGTACACGTGACGGAGTCCCCGGGCAGTCTTCCCTTCCCGATCCCATGCTGGCCTTGAAGTCTGGGAGAGCCTGGCAGTGGCAGCCATCACCAGAGGCCTGGTCTCAGGTCTCCCCAGTGCGTCCTCGAGATGTGACATGTACCCTCAAAGAGCTTCTGATCCAGTGAGGCAGGCGGGACACACACCCACTGCGGGCAGTGGGGCATAGTGCTAGAGCACGGATTTTCAGAGCCAGCCTGCCCCGGGCTCAAATTATGGCTCTGCTGACCTCGGGCCAGTTCACCTCATTGTGCTTTGGTTTTTCTTCAGAAGAGGGCACAGCATCTGGCACGTGATGCCAGTGGCATTCTGGAAAGGTCCAGCCCACTACTGGAAGTAACCAGAGCACCGGACAAGCTAGGGCAGTGACAGCACATTCTCTTGAGGGGCTGGGCAGACTCTTTCGGGAGGGAAGAAGTCAGTGCAGGTCAGAGTAGCCGTGAAGAAGGTGCTAGGTGGAGGAGAGGGTTGGGGCATGCCGGGTGGGGAGGCGTCTGTGAGAAGCACGGCCTCACAGTCCCCTCGGAGCCCTAGGCTGGAGGGCTGGAGTGGGGACCGGGCTGGAGGGGAAGTTATGTTACAAGGCAGGTGAGTTACCGAGTCTTAGGCAAGACATTTTCCTCTTTTCAAGTAGTCACTGAAAACCAAAGAAGTTCTCCAGGCTGTTCATATTTTACTTCCCAGTGACAGCAGTGAAGCTTCTTCCTTGACACCTTCTTATTGCTGGTCTCCTTCCAGCACTTGTGCTCTCGTGGGTTACCGCCTGGTCTGTGGTCAGCAGTGGACTGGGTCTCAGGATTGACAGAGGCTCCATAGGAAGTAGAGTGGCCCCTATCCTGTTGCTGGGCAAGGGGAGGGGCCTGGGGTCGAAGTGGAGAGAAGAGACAGGGAGGGCCAAGGTGGGGAGCCAGGCAGTGCATCCTTCACCCACGCATTTGCTGTGTGAGCTGCTCCCCACATCCAGCCCTGTGGGGGTGAAGGAGAAAGACACTCTCAGGTGTGTTCTCACTGGGGCAGTGGGGCGGGTACATCTGAAGCAAATAGAGGACACTACCCAATTTGGTATGATAAGGTCCTCTTTCCCAGGCAGGGTTCTCAACCTCAGCACTGTTGACACTGAAGGTCGGATCATTCCTCACTGTGAGGCCCGGCCTATATGTGGTAGGATCTTGAGCATCCCTGACCTGCACCCCTTACATACTCACTGGGTCCCCCATAGGACTCACCCAGCTGTCGCTATCAAAAGTGTCTCCAGGCATTGCCATGTGTCCCCTGGAGGGCAGAGCTCTGGCCATACCGTGGAGATGGGAGCCCGGGCCTCCCTCCCCCATTCACAGAAGGTTCCCAGGTGAGACCTGCGCCCGAGGGTGAGAGATGACCAGAGCAATACTAGATCTGGCCTGCCCAGAGCAGCCCCTGTCCCGTCTCCAGCCTGTTCTGCATGCCTTCCTCACCGAGCATACCTTGGGGTGCAGTTGGACTTGGGAAGGGGATCATCATCCAATCTGTTTTCCCCTCAGTGTAATTGTGGGTTCTCTTTCCTCTCACACAAGGAGCAGGGCTCAGGAAGGAGAAGATGGGGGCGCTCTATATGGAGGAGGCTGTGCCCCGAAAGCCACCCATTCCATCCTACAGGGAGCCAGTGGAGCTCCTGAAGGACTGCGTCATGGACCCTCCCGACAGACTCCTATACCGCCATACCAGCCAAGAGGCCCCTGAGCTGTCCTGACAGAGAGCTCCCGTAGGAGCAGGATTCCTGGGGATCGCCTTGGAGACCCCCTGCTGCCCTGCCCCTTGGAATCATGGTGACAGGCTCTCTGCAGAATCTAGGCTACCCTAGAATCTTCGTTTGGGGGGACTCTAAACACCAGAAGGGGGCAGTGACAAGATAGTTAAGCCCACCTCCCAGAGAGGCAGGGTAATCAGGAGCACAAGCCTGTTCACCAAGGCCCCTCTCTAAGTAGGGGTGACCTCATGGCACTGAAAGAGGCCGAAAGGTTCCGATCTCAAATTCATCTTTAAGGTGCTTCAGGAAATGATCCTATCAGGAAAGATTTCACCCCATGTTCTGGGAGCAAGAGGACTTCTCTGAAGTGGGAGAGACTGTTGGGGGGAGGGGCTTAAAGGAGCATCCCAGCCGCCGCGGATGGTTGGGGAGCTGCAGTGGCATAGAGGAGGCACCTGGGGAGGGGCGGAGGGTGACCAGGCTCTGGGGACAACTGGCCTGGCTCTGGGATCGGTCGTCCTGGCTCCGTGGCAGACGCAGGGAAGCCTCTACTCCAAACGGGAGACTCACAGCAGAGAATTTCTCTACCTCCTCCCAGGGCCTCCCTTAGGATGAGGCAAGCAAAACCCTCTGCACAAAGCGCTCAAGAGGTCATCCTCCTATAGCCCCAGGACCATGGAGGAAAGGCTTTACGGGAGGGAGCCTGCTGCTTCTCACCGGTGGCAGCCCTTCTGTGTGACCTGCACCAGTGTTGGACGTGAGCCTGGCTTCCTGAGGAGTGGACACGTCCAAGCTTGCCCTGGGGAGGCTTGTGATCCAGCCCCAGCTCTGCTGCAGGCAGAGGGTCAACCATGAGTAATCCCTTCCTCTTTTCTGTGCCTCGATTTCCCTCCCCATGACATGGCAGCAGAGAATTCAAGCGCCTGCTGGCTCCTGGTCTGCCACAGGATGGACAGCGTCTCCAGCTCCCTGACAGACAGACCTCGGGCAGCACAGAGTGGGCTTAGCTGCCTTCAGCCCTTGTCCTTGTCCCTTGCTACCAACGTCCTTACTATGGGAAGAGGTGCTCCCAAAGTGCCACTCTTCTCGAAGTTGCTCTGGGACCCAGCCTGGGAATCACTAGGGGTGCTTGTTAAATATGCCCCCCCATACCTGCCGATCAGATCCGCGGGACCGGGGCTCAAGGATGGGCCCTTGTCCGCAGGATCCTCCAGGAGCTTTGTGGGCCCACTCCCACTTGAGGACCCCCACCCCCACCCCATTCCTCCGGCCTACCGGAAGTAAAGCACTTTCCCCTCCAGGGCAGTTTCATTTTGGCAGGTTCCTGGGCTGCTTATCTGGTGGGGATGATGTGGGGCCTAGGTCCTGCCTTCCTAACCACGGATTGTTTGCCCCCTGCCTTTCGAGTTTTAGGCAGGAAATGGTGCGTCCCGGCCTCGCGCTTGGGGTCCCTGCCCTGTGCTGCAAGTACAAGTTGTCTGGCCCTGAACCAGCAGTCTCTTCTCCTCCCAGTCCTAGGGTGGTGCTGGGATCCAGTGTCCCCCTGGTTCCTGATGCTTCTGACTTTCCCTTCCCACCCCCACCCTTAGCACTTAGCCTTAACGCCATCGCCTTCCTGTTTTCTTTAGCTGTGGGCCAGGAATTCGCTCTCACTCTCTGCCTTTTATTTAGCCTGTGGAAATGTCTCTCTCCCAGCCCCATGGTCTAGGGTCTGAGGTATACCATGGGCCCTTGCAGCTACGGCTCTGGCCATACCGTGGAGATGGGAGCCCGGGCCTCCCTCCCCCATTCCTAGAAGAGTCTGTGGGAGTTCCGGAGTCTGCCTGAAGCTAGCTGTCCTGGGTGTGAATTGGTGGGTGGGAAGAGAGTAAGACCCTTCAAAGTGGGGGCTGTCAGCCCCACCCTACTCCTAGATTCCGAATTGAGGTGACTTTCTGGCAAGCCTCCTCCCCATGGCCTCTCCCATTCTTTAAGAATCCTCAGAGCATGAGGCCAGTCCCTCAAGCAGTGTTGTGTGTGAGTTCCACACACACAATTCCCTGTGTTGCTCTCGGCATGGAGGTGGAGGCCAGGTAGGGAAGCACCCAGCCTCCACATCCGTGTACTGAGGAAGCCTCCATTGCCAGCTTTTGGGAAGGCTGGGCGCCTTGGAGGGGGTGCCCGAAAATGCTGTTTATCGTAGAGGTTTGCACTATCCACATTTCTCATGGGGCGCAGGCATGCTAGCTAATGGCAAAGACGACTACCCACCCTTTTGTGCAGGACCCAGGGCTGACACGTGGTGAGCACCCTTACCGGAGACTATTACCCAACCTGAGCTCTTTGTTTTGTTTCAAGACGCTCGCTGCGCTTCAAATCCAGGGCCTGGAGATACCCTTGTTGGAGAGCCGTCCTATTTTTGCCTCACAAGGAAGAAAGCTGAAGGGCACGGGGAATAGAAGGAGCAAGCCTTCGGCCAGAGTCCTAGCTACGCCTCCACTCTCCTTCCCTTCCTGTAATCTTCATAGCATCTCCACGTTCTGATCCTGGCACTCCCCCCATCCCTACCCACACCCCATAACTGCTGCCCACAGGGCCTAACGTTCTGAGTTTTAACCGGCATTATAACCGATGGTTTGATTCCAGTGGCCATAGAGACCAGGCGGGAGGGAGCGACCTCATCCCCCTGTCCTCGCCAGACCTCTTAGACAGTATAACCTACTCTAGACCTTTGCTTCTCTCTCAAGGCCACGTGGAGTTCCTAGGGTGCTAAGTATTTGGCAAGACGGTGTGAAGATTGGCCAATTGCCGCGTGCAGGTGTCTGTCAGCCAAGGATACTCAGGATGATTGGCAAGGGGATGTCCTCTCCTCTTCTGGTTTCAAAGAGGTGCAAATGAGGTTTAAAAAACCATGTTTGATTCTCAACCTTTTGCTACCTGAATAAAGCAGAGTTTATTTCGGCACATGCCTCGGTCCTGTAAGTCCCGCGAGTCAAAGCTTATCAAAAGCTGATCGAAGCTAACTAAATCGGGCGGCTCGGCAAGCCCGCCCCCGCCGGAGTGACGCGCTCGCGCCTGCGCAGGAGCGACTGTGCGCGCTCCCCGGGGCCTCCCGGTCCTGCTGCGCATGCTCGGCGCCCACTCCGCGGCCGGGACCCCGCGCGCCCGGGCGTCTGCAGTTCGGCCCTGCGCCCCAGCCTGGGCATCCCGCTCTCGGCCATGACGGCTCATTCCTTCGCCCTCCCGGTCATTATCTTCACCACGTTCTGGGGCCTCATCGGCATCGCCGGGCCCTGGTTCGTGCCGAAAGGACCCAACCGCGGGTAAGGATGGCGCGCGGGCCTGGCCCTCCTGCGGACCCCTCCCCGGGCGGCGGCGAGCGGCGCAGTGAGCACTGGGCCGAGGCGCGCCCGGCGCCGCACTCCTGCCTGTCTGCACGCGCCGCGTTCAGCTCGCCAACAGGCAGGCGGTCGGGGCCAAAGGGCAGAGCCGGTGGTGCTTTGGAAAGGTGGAGAGCCGACTGACACCGGAGGCAGTTAAGGGGCCTTCCCCTTTCCCCCTTCCAGCCAGTGAAGCTAGAGGCCGTGAGCCGGGCCTGATGCGGTTTGTCCACCCCTCACCAGCGGTGACCTTGAGCGAATGTTACCCCTTCAGGCCTCACTTTCTTCATAGGTAAAATGTGGATGAGGCTGATGCCTGCCTTTTAAGGCTGCTGTGAGGGTTACCCGAGGTTATGCTTGTAAGACTCTTATAGCGCATGGCACGTATTATGTATTGAATAATTTTTGGCCGGTGTTATTGTTTTTTGAAGGGCCCCAGCAGATTTCTGTATCTGTTGCACCATTTAGCAGTGTCTGCATCATATTATCCTCAGTTACGAAGTGCTGTCTCCTCTTGATTACAAGTTCCTCTAGGTGGAAGATTCCTTCACCACTGTAGACCCCAGTGCCCAGCACGGGACTAGCCCAGGAAGCTTAGTAATGTTCAAAGAATGGATCAAGTGTAATTTTTCTGGCACTGACTTTCAGATGCTTTAGACCAGGGGCCCTGGGGCCTGGTTTGGATTAGGTTTAGCTTTGGCTGGAGGCTGCTTGGATGGATGGGTGCGGTCTCTGTTCTTCAAGATCTGCAGGGCGGCGGTCCCACGGCATTACTTTGTGAACCATTTTAGTGTCTCACCTCTTCTGCAAACCCTGGTGAGTTCTGTCTAACTGAAGTCTCTCCTGCTGCATTTTAAGCTTCTGTCTCCAGTCCACTTCGTGTGGACACAGGTAGCTAGTCCTTGCTCCCTTTATAACGACTCACGCACCTCAGAAATGGCTCACAGTCTCCTTGCCTCTTGCCAGCTTCTGTTTTCCATCCCTTTGCCCAGTGAAGCTTGCATTCCAGAGACCACTCCATGGTGGGTTGCTGCAGATGCTGCTGGGGCTGGTGGTGGTGCTGCATTAAGATGGGGAAAGAGTGGGTGTGGACAAGGGAGGTGAAGGGAGTTCGTAACACAACTTGGATGTGGACAAGGTGGGCTTCCCCCTAAGGTGACCCTTAGGGGGAGTTTTTATCTTCCATCTTATAATTCTCACCCTGAATAGAACTCAGCCTCCTGTGTTCAGGTGACATCAGGAAGGCAAGCGGGAAAGGGGCCGACACCAGGAGCTCTTTAGCTCTGGCCAGGCCTTCGGAGGGTGCTGGTTCCACCCATCCTGATCTGACAGCCTCTTCCATTGCAGAGTGATCATCACCATGCTGGTAGCCACCGCAGTCTGCTGTTACCTCTTGTAAGTACTGCTCCCCGGCTCAAAATCTTCCCTCCTCTCCCTAGCCCTGCTCTCCCCTCTGTCCTGGTGGTGACAGATTCCACTTTTGAAAGGCTGAGTCTCTAAAGCCTAGGAGAGAGGGCAGTTTGAGACGGCAGAGAAAGCCGTGGGCTGGAAATCATGGACTTTGGGGTCTGCTTCCAAATATGCCACCTGAATAGGCTTTGTCCCGTCCATAGGCTGCAGTGAAGTGAATGCAGTGAGCCAGCTCAGTCTGGGCATCAGGCTCTCCTGGAGAGACTGTAAAACACAGCTTTCAGGGCCATGCCCTAGGCCCACTCAATCACAGTTTTCAAGTCTGCACTTAGGAGTTCATATTTTTAATACATGCCCCTGGGTATCTGTGATGCAGCCGGTTTTGAACCACCAGATGGGCGGGAGTCTTCAGACTTGGGAAGGGGGCCCTGGGGATATTGAAGAAGAGTTCCAAGGGATCCAAGGACCTGGACAGGGTGAGGGAGTCAGCGTCCAGGTCCCGAATGCCCAGATGTTCTCTTCCTAAAACTGCCATTCACCATAGCACCTCCCCCGTTATGAAAAAAGACACCCCTCCTTCCACCCCGAGTCCTTTTATGTCACCTTGCTCCATGTTTAAATCATCCTGCCTGCCAAACCAGGGAATAAGTCCAAGTTCTGGTTTTTAGGGAAGGCTCTCTGGTGGTCAGTCAAGCCTCGGGAAGCCTATATGGCTTCCCATCATCCTGGGTCTCATACACTCTTTTTATGAGGTAGGCTTGGCACAGTTGGGGTGTTCTGAATTCAGAACAGTCAAAATAGGACAGGTAAGGGGGACCTGGGTGGCTCAGTCGTTAGGCGTCTGCCTTCGGCTCAGGTCGTGATCCCAGGGTGCTGGGATGGAGCCCCGCATCGGGCTCCCTGCTCGGCGGGAAGCCTGCTTCTCCCTCTCCCTCTCCCACTCCCCCTGCTTGTGTTCCCTCTCTCTCTTTCTCTCTGACAAATAAATAAATAAAATCTTAAAAAAAAAAAAAGACTGATAATCCAGGAAAATTAAAAAAAAAAAAATAGGAGGGGTAACGGTGATGAGCTACCGATTCTTTAAAAGGTAACGGGTTGTTTTAAAAGTAACTGGAATAATAAATTGAGAAATAACAGTGACTGGAATATTTCTCAAGACTGCCAAATTTTTCAAAATACATAGCATAAGGCCCGCACTTAAAAAATTTTTTACGTGATTGCTTTCAGATTTGGGGTAGGTTTTGTAGTTAAAACCTGTTTTATCTAATTGGATCACCAACTATTTATTCCTGTTAGCCAGTTCTCTCCTTCCACTTTATCTAATGTTAAATATTTTCTACCTCCTATTAACAACAAAAAAAATAAAACTTGTTAAAAATAATGATGATTCTTAGATGTCCGCTTACATATATGAGTGTGTATGGTTTTTCAGAATTCTCCCCAGACAGAGCGTCTCTAAGGCCTGTTAGGCTGTTTCTTGGTCCTTCGGGGCTTGTTAGAATGTCCTCATCGGTCCCAGGGAGGGCCGTGGAGGGGCCGGGGTTTGCTGGCTCAGAGACTGGGACAGAGCGGGTGGTGGCTGGGAACAGGCATATGCTCAGGCTGTGCGTAATTACAAACACCGTCTGGACATCTGGGAAAGGGAGGCTGGCTGCAGAGCAGGTGCACACAGGCGGCAAGGTGGGGCAGCTTAAGAGAATGCTAGGCCTAGAAATTATGTTTACAAAATATCAGCTCGGGGATCATGCGGATGATAAGCAGGCTGTGGTTTCTGACAGCCTCCTTGGGGGCACTCAGGGGAAACAGCTAGAGCCTTCCTGATAGGGCACCAGGTAGAGCACCGCTGGGACCTGTCAGGCATGTGAAGCCGTGCCCCTCTAGAGTCTTTGGGGGCCTGCTACCGTGGGCACACAGTCGTGCCAGTGGGGCCCGACCCCCCACCCCCAGATGTGCAGCCCGCCGACGGTCCCTGGAGAGCTCACGGGCCTGACCAGCTCCTGTCCTGTCCCCAGCAGGCCTCAGAGTGGGGCTCTCTGGTCGTCAGCCTTCCACAGGAGGTGGTTCCTTCATCTTGCTCCTAAACGTTGGTGATTCTGACGTGCTTCCCGTCGGATCTGTCCTGTCTGCTCCCAGGTGCAGGCTGGGGGAGGCCTAGACCAGAGACGTACGAGGGCACCGCCAGGAGTCACTTTCAGCATACCTCTGGAGGCTGTCTTACTTCTCTCATCCCAGAGCCCAGCCCCAACTCGGGTCTTATCAGTCGACAAAACATCAAACGAAACATAAGCCCAAACCCACAAGCCCCAAGGCCAAGCTCGTGCGCTGGCTAGGGTGTGGGTGGCTTCCCGGGGCCTTTTGCTCCCACACACAGACCCTCCATCTGCTGGGTTGGCCATGTGATCAGAGGCAGTGTGCGGGGGTGTGGAGGGTGGGGTTCCTCATGTGTCCTGGCTCACCCTCACTGTGCTGTCCCTGGCAGCTGGCTCATCACTATCCTGGCTCAGCTGAACCCCCTTTTCGGGCCGCAGCTGAAGAACGAGACCATCTGGTACGTGCGCTTCCTGTGGGAGTAACCACTGGCACTTCGGCCCCAGGTACTGAGGGCCCAGGCCCTGCGGGTGGGAAAGGGGACTGCTGTGTAGCAAGAGACCAGGCAGGGCAGTCATGAGAGTTCATGTTTATTTTATTTTATTCTATTTTTTATTAGAGAGAGCACAAGCTGGGGGGCAGGGGGTGGGGAAGAGGCAGAGGGAGAAGAAGAAGCAGGGAACCCGATGTGGGACTTGATCCCAGGACTCTGGGAAGGCAGATGCTTAACTGACTGAGCCACCCAGGCACCCCAAGAGTTCATGTTTAGATTCAGGCACTCATTTATTTGGCAAAAAAAGGAAAAAAGAAAAAGATACAGAGCACCTAATATTCTTCCTGCCTGGTGCCATGCAAGGCAGCAGGGACTGAGGGAAGACCAGGGTCCTCAGGGGGAGCAGGTCAGGCCGAGCCATGGCGGCGGGTTCGCGGGCTGCAGAGGCGGTGGCTGGGGGTGCAGCATCTTTTCTGAGGGAGGGAGCACTGGGGCACAGGGCCGTGAGACACTAATCGGACAGAGGGACAGCTGAAGTGAGCTGAGAGACCAGGGTAGAGACAGGGACAAGGACGTTCTCCAGGGAGGGTGTGGGAAGGGGTGGTGAGAGGGGGTCTCCACAGCAAGGAGGTGACCCTTCCATGTGATGCGTTTTTCAGGTGCCCCAGCTCTCTGGATGACTTTGGCTGCCCTGTCCCTGATGACCCCTTTGTCCCCACCCTCACAGCTGTATCTGGGTCCCTCCATGGCTTCCCCAGGATCTGCCTGGTTCTAGCAGCTCCTGCCTTCTCCATCCAGTCTGGGCCTCGGGAAGCCTGCAGCTGAGTCAGGCTGGAACAGGAGATACCAGCCCTCAAACTCCCCCTGCCTCTCCCAGGTAGACCCCGGCCAGGAGCTGACACGGGTGGGACTTGCCTTTTACAAATGAGGCAGCCTGTCCTGGGGAGAAGGGGTGTCCAGCCTGGGATGCTCCAAGCCTGGGGCGGGCTGGAGCAGGGAGAAAGCCCCGGATGGGGAGTCCGCTGGTTCCCACCAGCCCTGCCACTGTGCTGCTGTGCGGCCCTGGGAAGCATCCCTGCCTCCGTGGGCCTCCTCATCTGTGAGATGGAGAGACGCGATCGGGGTGCCACAAAGGCCTTTCCTGGGATTCTTTAATTTTGGGGCACATATAGATGTGAAATTTCTGTAAAAGTCAAAGTAATGGAAAAACATTCACACACAAAAAGCAACATAGTGATCTGGGTCGGGATTGAAGCCAGTATGTTTAGGATTCTTTATAGTCACTTAAATGGGCTTGCTCAGAAAACTGTGTCTCCTTAGAATATGCTGTGCCACCTTCCTCCCCTGTCTTGGTCCCTCCTCTATGGGTGAGCTCCCTGCTGCCTGGAGGCTCAATGTGAGCACAGCCCCAGGCCTGGATTCCTTCATTTGACAGCAGTGGGGTGGATTTCAGAGTCCCCCCCCCTCCCCCCAGTAGCAGCAGATCGGTCGCCTGGAGTTAGGATGAAGAGAGACGGGTGTGGGTGAGGTTTGGGTGCCACTATGGCCCTCTGGGCCCATCCTGGCCCCTGAGGCCAGCACCAGACCTGCCTGCCCCGGAGTGGCCGGGGCTCTGCGCTCGGATGGTGAGGGTAGAGGAGCGCCTAGCCTGACAAGGCCCGGAAGGCAGAATGTGCAGGCACCAGACCACAAGGAACCTAGGACCCCCACCCGTGCCCTCCTCCCAGAGGAGTTGAGGCTGAGACCTCAGGCACCGCCCCCCCCGCCCTCGCACCCCCACCACATTGCCTCCCCGGGGGAAGACGCCAATCTTGAATATTTATTGAGTGTATTTATGTGATTCACATTCCATTTAGTGGGCATTATCTTTGGAACAGTGGTCAATTGCGATACTTACCACGTAGATTTCTTGGTTCTGGGCTTGGCCTGTGGTTCAGAGCTCTGATTTGGGCCTCCCTTTGACACCCCACCTCACCTTCCTTTCAGACTCCTTTCCTTGGGATGTCAAGTATGGGTTGTCCTGAAAACCTGATCCACGTCCAGTGGCTCATGAGTGGTGGCCAAGTCCTGGCTGAGGCCGAGTTTGCTGGCTGCCGGGCCTCTGTCCACCCAATTCCCACATGCTCAGTGGGTGGGTTGGGGGCCACAGGAGAGGGGCATGGGGATGGAGGCTTGGAGCTGCAGCTCTGGATCGTGGACACTGAAAATGATACTCTCCTGAGACCTGAAGGAGAAGGTACAGCCGTCCCGGGTTCTGCCCGGAAGCAGTCCTGGCAGAAGGAAGACATGGGATTGTTCAAGCGGAACCCTGACCACCACTCGTCTGTACCCCAGATACAGAGTGCAGGGCTCCTGAGGCTGAGCAATAAAGCAGGTCCCCCAGATCTCCAGAGCGTGGCCTGCCTCGTTCCTGAATACCTGAGCACGCCCATCTGCCTGCTCCCCGGCCCCTGGTCAGTGACCAGCTTCCTGCAGGGGGCTGGAACAGAATGAGCAGAAGGGACTGGCCCTCCAGGGCCAGGGAGTGAAGTTCATGGGTGGAAGTTTCAGAGGGTTAGGGGTGGGGTGGCTCATGGAGGAGGCACTGGGACAAATGAGGGGCCAGACCATCGGGGGCCTGGACACCATCTGAGGAGCTTGCATCGATCCAAAGGGCAGTGCAAGGCACGAAAGGGGAGTGACAGGACCCTATTTGATTTCTAGAATGATTTCTGTAGGGTGTTTCACGGACAGGAGCCTGTCGATAGGGCACCGGATGAGAGAGGTGGTGAGGACGGAGGCGAGTGGGCCGATGGAAGGTCCAGTTAGGGCTGAAGGTGACCAGCCTGTGGGCTGTGGGAGAGGGGGAGGCAGGGATGGATGTGGACTGCTCTGGGCGGGGGACCCTGTGGTGAGCAATAATCAGGAGGCCGCTGGTCCTGGTGGCTGGCGGGGCTCCGTGAGGGGCCACAGAGGAGCAGGTTTCAGAGGGGAAACGGTGGCCTGTGGTTTCCTCTGTTTCCTGGCGAGTCAGGTGCGTCCAGGGCATCCGCATGGAGATGTCCGGTGAGCGGTTAGATCAGGGGGTTGAAGAGTTGAGGGTCTTCGGCATAAAATAACAGATGGTCCCTGAGGCCATGGGGTGGATTGCAGTGTGAGATAAGGCTGGGAAAGAACGTTCAGGAATGCCAGTGATCGCGGGGTGGGCAGATACAGATACAAGAGGTTCTCAAGGAGGCAGGAGGGGAGCTGGGTGCCTGTAACTGTCACTGAGTTCCTGCAAGTGATTCAAGAGGGAAGGTCCAGCATGTCAGAGGGCCCCTCCCAAGAAGTCAAGGGGGAGGGGAGAAAGACAAGTGACAGTGGGACCCTCTGAAAGACCTTGGGAGATAAAGGGAATCATACAAGGAGGGGACCTTCTTGGCTCGCTTTTCCTGGGTCCCTGCGGGTCAGGCCCTGGGCCTGGGGACATGCCCTGTAAGGCTGCGCGGCATCTCCATCCCTGCTGTTGTAACTTAAGCTAGGCCCATCCCCCTGGGACCCCTGCTCCCCCAGCGGCTCAGGGATGCTGAAGATCATGGGCCCGGGCCCAGGGTTGGGGGTGAGGGGGGTGACATATGGTTGCTTACCCTGGCTTCTCAGTTTCCCTGGTGTTGGACTGCTGCAGCTCCCCTTAGACTCTCCCAGGATGTGTGTCTGTCCCTCTGGTCAGGTGGAGTCCTGGGGAGCGTCCCCTGCTCTCCTGGCCACCTCTGAGCAGCTCAGGGCTGGCAGCTCCTTCCCCAGCTCAGTGACTTTCCCACCGATTCCCACCGTTCTGCCTGCACGGCCGTTCAGGGACAGAGGAGAGCAGCCGACAGCATGGGTGCACGCTCCCTCCCAGGATCCGATGCTGCCCCACCACCACTTGGTGAGGATTGCATTCCTATCAAAGCTCTCACGCCCACACCCCAGGCGGAAACCCTAAGGTGAGCGGGATTTGTCCAACATAAACACAGCTGGGCATCAGTTAAAGCGGTGAAAGCAGGTTTTATTCTGTAAGTACTGACGGTAAGGGAAATCTGAGCTCCATCCCATCTGTGCTGAGGTGAGGAGCAGTTCAAAGGGAGAACGAGGGAGGAGGGAGAGGGGGCAAGCGGGGGCTCAGGTAGAGTCAGGGAAGTGAGAAATTACAAAAGGTTGGTCAGTGCAAGTGCCACTAGGCCGGCTGTGTCTCCCACAGGGACTGGGACTGAGGCCCGAGGAGGAATGGGGCTCAGGTCCTTGAGAAAGACATTACTGGATTGCAGGAGATCCATACACATATGTCTCACAGGGACAGAGGAAGGATTCATGATTGGAAGCAGTTCTTTTTAGTAAATGCTCTAAGAAAAGGCAGAGGGCAGAAGGTCAGAGGTCTGTGGTCAGGTATTGGCCAGAACAGACAGTTAAGTTCTGACAGCCTAGAACTTTTTCAGACAAGAACTCACCGGGCTAGGCTGTCTGAAGCCTCGCTAGGTTGGTTGAGTCTCTTGGTGGGGGATCTGGATTGAAGCATTAGGTGCTGATATCAGTTCTTTTGCAGTTAGTTTCAAGCATCCACAGCCCGCCACGTGGGAGGCAAAAGATCCGTGCGGATGGGTGGTGGCAGAGAGTAGGATACCCCTGCACCATACCTAGTGGGGAAACAGCCTCGGAGACCACCCTGGGATCCGACAAGCCCAGAGAGAAGACCTAAGGCAGCCAAGGTAATCTAAGCTGCACACACAGAGGGTGGCCGACAGAGGGCAGTGCTCCAACGAAGGATCTACACCTCCAGAGACCCATTTATGCCACCCCCCCACAACCCCCCCCCTCCCGCCCCGATGCCTCCAACCGATGTTAGAGGTGGTGGCCTTAGAACATGGCTGTTGCGGGGCGGGGGGGGTGCAGGGACAATTCTCCAGAAGAGACCACAGCCTGGGTGAAATGTCCTTCAAGGATATGTACGAATGCCCATGGCTAATGTTTACTGAGCGGTTGTAGGTGCCAGGCACTGCTTGGGAAAACCAAAGGGC